TATATATTGCCAATGTCTGTTTTGATTTTGTCGAAAAATGTGTACAATATTAGAACCGTTTTAGACATGTCAAAAAGATTTATTTATTTTTTATTATTTTGGCACAATAAAAAAGAAACTAATTTATATAGAATTTTTAAAATAAACTAACCATAAACTGAAAAGAGAAACTAATCTATTGGGCTCAGTTAACCTTTTCATGATGAGCCAGACAAAATGTTCAATCAAGTTATTTAAATATAATTTGAACACAAACCTTTTTTTTTAAAGTATTGTCATACACTCATGTTTTTTTAGTTAAAAGAACACAAAGTAAAAACAGGTCTTTAAATGTTAAGAATAGCAAAAGTACTGCAGATGGGTTTGCTTAAACCAGCTACGGACTATGGAGCCGAATTATGCAATCGAAATCTGTGTCATGTTATTCAGTTTATTTAATGTTAGTCTAGTGAAGTAACTACAACTTCACTAGAACTTTCTTTTCTTTAGATTTAGAATATTTTATTACAGCCTTTTTTTCATAAATTAAATAGTATATATTCAATATTATGTATTTATTTAAATAGACTTGAATTTTCATTGAGTTAAACTTTTTTTAAAAAGTTTGTGAACTAAAGTAACAAACATTGCATTATATTTCATTTTATAAAAGTTATTCAAATATTTATAACAAATGTTATTTTTTCATCAAGCATAATAATTTTTTTTTACACTTAACACTAAGGGAAATTTAAAATGATGTCTATAGAATTTATTTTAACTTGTGTGAAAACAAACTAATTGTAAAGTATAATTTACAAAATATATATATATATTAATATATTTATATATATATATATATACATACATATATATATATATATATATATATATATATATATATATATATATACATATATATATATATATGTATTATATATATATATACGTATATATATATGTATTATATATATATATATATATACGTATATATATATGTATTATATATATATATATTTATATAAATATATATATTTACATATATGTATATACATATATATATATATATATATATATATATATATATATATATATATATATATATATATATATATATATATATATATATTATATCTATATATATATATATATATATATATATATATATATATATATATATATATATATATATATATATATATATTTATATTTATATTATATCTATATATATATATATATATATATATATATATATATATATATATATATATATATATATATATTATATCTATATATATCTATATATATCTATATATATATATATATATATATATATATATATATATATATATATATATATATATATATATATATATATATATATTATATCTATATATATCTATATATATCTATATATATATATATATATATATATATATATATATATATATATATATATTATATCTATATATATATATATATATATATATATATATATATATATATATATATATATATATATATATATACTATATATATATATATATATATATATATATATATATATATATATATATATACTATATATATATATATATATATATATATATATATATATATATATATATATATATACTATATATATATATATATATATATATACTCTATATATATATATATATATATATATATATATATATATATATATATATATATATATATATATACATATATATATATATATATATATATATACATATATATATATATATATATATATATATATATATATATATATATATATATATATATATATATATATACTATATATATATATATATATATATATATATATACATATATATATATATATATATATATACATATATATATATATATATATAAATTTACATATATTTATATATATATATATATACTATATATATATATATATATATATATATATATATATATATATATATATATATATATAGATAGATATATATATATAGATATATGTATACATACATACATATATATATATAGATATATGTATACATACATATATATATATATATATATATATATATATATATATATATATATATATATATATATATAGATATATATATATAGATATATATATACATATATGTATACATTCATATATATATATATATATATATATATATATATATATATATATATATATATATATATATATATATATATACATATATATATATATATATATATATATATATATATATATATATATATATATATATATGTATATATATATATATATATATATATATATATATATATAAATTATATATATATATTCATATATATAATATGAACACAACCTGGCCATTTATGCGAATGAAAATAAATATAACCATTTAAAGAAAAGCTTAGAACTTTTGGTTCTTTAGAAGAACATTACACAAAATTTTCTTAATCAGGTGCAATAAAACAAAATGCTAAAGATTTTTGCAATGTTATTAATCCTCCATTGATACACGCAAAAACCAGCGACCACTTAGTGGCAGATTATCTTTTCCCACCAGAGTTACACCTAATGGAGGGAGCTGTTAATCATATTTATAATCATATAGAGATATGTGGTGGTAAAAACGAAGTTGCTAAAGTGTGGATGATTTTAAACATTTCGAAAGAGGTCCAGAATAATTCCTTTAATGGCGAAGCCTCCTGTAAAATCCTTAAAGATTATGACAAGTACATGCGTGCATTGTTAATTAACTTAAAACCATTGGCAAAAGGGCTTAGAACTTTAAACAATTTGGTTGATTTTTTTTTTTTTTGGCAGAAACTACATCATTATTTTTAAATACATATTAAAAACTTTGAAAAACACTACAGAACACTGGTTGAATATTATGGAATATAAATGTTTCATTAAAAAATCATTATATTTTAAAACATGTAGTTGCTTTTTGTGCAGTAAGAGGGCGTGGATTAGGCTGCTACTCTGAAAAAGCTGTTGAAACAGTTCATTACAACTTCGTTAATGAATCTTGGAATAGATTCTAAGTTTTTAAAAGTAACAGCTCCTTTTCTGAACATTAAAAAAATGTTGTTATCAGTTTTAACGGAAAAAAACCTTGTAAATATTACAAATGCTCCTGTATTATATATAAAATATATTTATGTTTTAACTTTAATTAATTATATATTTTTTTATGCTAATGTCATAAAAGTATGTTAAGTTTATTATTAAACAGAATTTTAATAATATAAAACATTAGTTAATGTGTTTATATATATATGTAATGTACATGGGTTTGTATTTTACAAATGACATATTCAAAACAGTCATATCCAAACAATATATTTCATTTTCACACCTTATGGCTATAATTTTTGAACAATATATTTTTTGAACTGATATATTTGTTATATAAAAAAAAAAAAAAAAAAACTTCCAAGATTTTCGGGAAAAAAATTAGGAATTTAACTCTTTTGGCCCCTAAAACGTAAATATTTTGCTAAAAGGAATTTTTTGATTTCGGTGACATATCAAATCTAAATCAATTCATTGTAATGAATCCAAATAACGATGCAATTTCATCAGATTTTATATCAGTATAAAGTCATCAGTGCACTGATGACTTTATACTGATATAAGATCTGATGAAATTTGCCATACACATATAAACTATAACATTAGTGATTCAAATCTTTAAAAAATTAGTCTTTTTAAAAAAAAATTAGGCATTAGATAGTAGTGGTGGGGCTAGGGTTATTTCTTTTCACATATCAAAAGCTTTTGGTAAAGGCTGGGATGCTAGACTTCTTTATAAGCCTAATGATACCAATATATGTTTCAGTCTTGACAAAAACTTTTTACCTTGTGAGAGCTTAGAAAAGGCAGCCTCTCTTCTCTAACAACTTGGAGTTTGAAATGGGTAATGAATTCTATTCGGAACAAAACTCAACTGATTACTGCTAATAATTATCACAATGTTGTTGATATTAAATGGTGAAATTAAATGTTATACTGAGAAAATTTAAAGTCTAATACTGAGTCATCTACTTTAAATCTTCTCAGTATAATATTTAATAGTAAAGTTGCAAAGTTACAACTAATTGTAACTTTGCAATTGTTTGCTTAAAACATTTGAATGAGGGGTTACTGTTATTAAATGAGGGGTTATAGTAACAAAGTTACAGTTCAGCAACTTATAAGGTCCAATTATTTTGCTGAATTAATTCAGCAAAATAATTGGACCAATTAAGTTGCGGAATTGTAACTTTGTAACAATAACCAGTGTAAAAAATTTACTTTAAAATATATATTTGTTGCTTCTGTTAAAAAAGACGCTAATTACTGAATAATTGCTGATCGAGGTTGTCATAAAATCAGGGAGTTGCAATGACAATAACACTTTGATAAACTATCATTTAGAAACTTTAATCGTTATAGCACTGACCTTAATAATTTTTACTATAAAAAGATATATTCTAAGAATAATATGTCAGGAAATTAAGATTAAAAAACGCTTAACAATACCAAAACTGAATTCGCTAAAAATATTTGTAACATGTTTTAACAGTTAACAACAAAACTTGTTGAGTTGAAGATAAAAACTTTTGCAATATAAAGCTCTATTGTACTCACTGAATTGTTTTGACTACATATTTCATATAATATTAACTAATTTTAACTATTATGTAATTATCACCACTGATTTCTAAGTTTCAATGATTGAATAGTTTCATAATTTCAAACAAAAACAAATAAACCCGATCAAGTTTGCGCATGCGTCAATTTTCAGCCGCAGAAGCAATTTTTAGACTCCATTCAGAACTTTTTGCGCTTTGGGGAAGCGGAAAAGTTATTAGAGCATGCGCAAAGAGTTTTTTTTAAAAACCGTTCTCCAATCAGATCTTTTTGTGCATGCTCAAATAACTTTTCCGCTTCCCAAAAGCGCAAAAAGTTCTGAATGGAGAACGGGCTTTAGAGAGGCTGAATTTTCAGCCGCAGAAGACTCAAGCTTTTTTTATTGGCTCCATAAAAATTAGTGTTAAAAGAAGAGAGAAAGTAGTTGCATAGTTTTTTATGATAGATAGATGTGACTAGTCGACTCCGCAGTCTTTGTTTTGATCAACATTGTTTAGCCTTTCAAGAATGAGTACCATGTAGAACGAATACCAAAGAATACCAAATATTTGATACAACTAAATAATGCAATTAATACGATTACATTTACTATAGTATCATGCGTTATATAATTGTAGTTAACGTACATTTTGACTTCAAAGTCGGGTTTGGCGCAAATTTGATAATAATGTGTCTTCAGGTCGGGTCTTGTTTAAAAAATAAACTACACATACTTAGCTCATGCATGAAATGCAATATCCAATGGATCAATTTCATGTGACGTAAAAGCACACACTGAACACATGGACCGTAAACACACAAACCAAAGCACATAAAATATACATCAAAACAAACATGTAGAAATCAATTTGCAGTTAATGTTAACTTGTTAATGCGATAGTTTCCAACTTAACCCCAAACGTGACAACAATAGCTAAGATGAGATAAGAATAATGCATAGTAAATACTCCTAAGTGTAACTTTATTGACATAATGACGAATTATTGAAAGTAAACCGTTAGCTCGAGATTACCGTTAGATCAATATGAATGTTCCATGTAAGATTACAACCTATTATTACACCAAGGTATTAAATAACTCTTGAAGGATATAGCCGTTTATTATTAATTTTGATTTTGATTTCAACATTTTTAAAGAAATTGTTTTTTCTTGGAGATGAAAAATAAATTAGTTCAGTTTTTTCGCTTTTGACACTTATTAGGTTAGCATTTGACCAGTGAACTGTACCTTTTAGATCCGAATTAAAATTTTTACATAAGGAATGATACGATTAGTTGATGTGCAAGAGATTTATATCATCAGCAAACAGATGGACTAAAGAGAAGTGAACAGAGTTGATTAGGTCGTTAACGTTAGGTCGTTAACGTAGATTGAAAACAAAAAAGGACCTAGAACAGAAACTTGAGGAACACCACTCAAAACTGATTTATAACTAGAATTGAAACCATTCATACTTACAAATTGTTTTTGATCTGCAAGATAAGATCGAAACCAGTCATTTACAATACCACGAAATCCATATCAAAATCCTATGGTCAACAGTATCGAAAGCTTTTTGTAAATCGATAAAAACACCACAAACGATATGGCCAGTATCAAGAGCTTTCCTGATTTTTTCCGTTATACTTATTAATGCAAGGCAAGTAGAATGTTTTGATCGAAAACCAAATTGAAAATCATTTAAACAATTAAATGAGTTTAGAAAAGAGTACACTTAAGAATACCTAAGTTTTTCGAGAAGCCTACTAATATTAGATAAAAAAGAAATAGGTCTGTAGTTAGTGCATGAAAGTTTAGAGCCATTTTTAAATATTGGAATATGTAGTAGTTTATCACCTCCGCCTGATTTATCACCTCCCCCATAGAAAACTCAAAACGAGATTGCGCTTTTAGTTTATAGCTGTTAGAATTGTACCTACGACGCCCGTTTAGCGCAATAAACTTCAGCAACAACAACTTAAAGAAAAGACAAGGTCAACAATTCTAGAAATAAAATTTACTCGGTCTGTTGTGATGTTCCAACTCCATATTTTTGAAAGGTAATTAAAGAAAAAACAATAGCGATATAAATTATACTATAATTTGTAACTATAAATTAACTAGTTATGTATTTTTGTTGTAAATACTTGAGGATTTGAATTATTTATCACCTGATTTATCACCTCCCCCCTAGTAAATTACTTGTCTTACATCTGATTTGTCACCTTACCCGTAGTAAATCACTAAGCTTGAGATTGTGTGACAATGGTATTGAGAGATAGTGATAGAAGTTATACAACCATAAATTAATTAGTTATGTATTTTTGTTGTAAATACTTTAGGATTTGTTTTATGTGACTGATTTATCACCTCCCACCTAGCAAATTACTAAGCTTGAGATAGTGTGACAACAGTATTGAGAAATAGTGATAGAAGTTATACAACTGTAAGTTAACTAGTTATGTATTGTTGTTGTAAATACTTTAGAATTTGTTTTATATGTGGGTGATTTATCACCTCCCTCCTAGTAAATCACTAAGCTTGAGATAGTGTGACAATGGTATTAAGCGATAGTGATAGAAATTATACACCTATAATATAATTAGTTATGCATTTTTGTTGTAAATACTTTAGGATTTGTTATATATGTGAATGAATTATCACCTCCCACCTAGTAAATTGCTTGTCTTACGTCTGATTTATCACCTCCCCTCTAGTAAATCACTAGGTTTGAGATAGTGTGACAATGGTATTGATAGATAGTGATACAAGTTATACAACTTTAACTTAATTAGTTTTGTTTTTTTGTTGTAAATACTTTAGAGTTTGCTTTATATGTGTCTGATTTATCACCTCCCTCCTAGTAAATTACTCGTCTTACGTCTGATTATTCACCTCTGTTCTAGTAATTTACTAAGATTGAGATAGTGTGACAATGGTATTGAGAGATAGTGATAAAAGTTATACAACTATAAATTAACTAGTTATGTATTTTTTTGTAAATACTTTAGGATTTGTTTTATATGTGATTCATTTAATACCTCCATCCGAGTAAATTACTTTTCATTCGTCTGATTTATCACCTCCCCCTTTGTAAAAAGGTAAAGCATAACATATATATATATATATATATATATATATATATATATATATATTATATATATATATATATATATATATATATATATATATTAATCTGTTTTTTTATAAATTAATAATTTTTGCTTTTTTTTCTAGATAATATTTATGTTTAGTTCATGTTATGTTTAGTTATGATCTTCATAAAACGCAACGCAAACACTGGTGGATGAAACAAAAAGGGATTCATTATTAAAATAGTAACTTAAGAACGTCACATACTCCAGAAAAAACAGATTCGTTGTGAAACGTGATTACTACCGATAGCGAATGTTTTGTGTTCTCTCAAAGAATCCATTGTTCGGAAATTTACGAATGTTACGATGTATAATATTATATTAATTAGAAAATACTTAGTATGTTTTAATATAGTTTGTATAACGATATACATTATATTATAGTCAATTTTTTTTGAAAAACGTTATTTAGAATTAATTGATATAAATTAAGGAAAAAATAGATTTATATATTATTATGGATGTTGTGCAATTTGTTTTAAATAAAATTGATAGAAAATGTAATAGTATAGACATTAAAAGATAGTCTATTTGCGCCTGACTGCTCCGGCTTATGTTTCAAGTTTGTTTGAACTTATGGCTCTCACTGCTGTTTCACTCAATATAAAAGCGAGCTTGACGTTAGGAGGATTTTTGTTTAAAAAAAAAAAAAAAGAATTTTCGCATAAAAAGTATAAAAACTCACTAACTTTAAATTAATAGTATTTTTTTTCTATCAACGCTTTAATCTTGGAATTAAAAAAATAAAAAAAACTTTTTTCGTTAAATAAATATTTACATGAAACGAAATAAAAATAAACATTGTTAAAATATTTTAAATGATTTTGTATCACTTTTCTATTTTTTGCGTAATTTACGGAAAACCTGTCTTGGGCCAAGATTTGATATTATAAGCTACATGCTTGATGATTGAAATTTTACATACTTATAAACGAATGTCTATTTTATCAGTTTTTTGGAGGGCATAGATAAAAATAATTGTTTAAGTTAGTTTTTTTAGCATTATTATTTTTGTTTTTACTTGTTTTATATGAAAAACATTCAATTTTTGTTATGCCCTCCAAATTATTGAATTTTCAACCCTCTATGCACATGAAAATCAAAAAAATTATTTTCTGTACTTCTTACTAAAACGTCTAAAACCTTGGCAAATTTTGTTGCTTTTAGCAATTACATGCGTAAAATTGTTGTTTATGTTTTAAAGGAATGACGTAACTTTAAATGCGTTACTTCCCAAGTCACTATGTAATTAAATTTATTAAAACAGCTTTTTTAGCGAGACAAATTTTAGTTTATAAATAAAAATAACTTAAGCGATTTTTTTTCTCTCGTGGCTAATCTACACACATTAGATAAATTGTTTAATCCCCTGATATCTATTGCATACTTGTTATTTGTCAATAATTATTATTTGATTTTATTTGTTTGTTTTATATTTGTATTACGAAGTTTATTTATCACTATGCATTCTTGTGAAAGGGAGATACTAATACTATACATTGAATGCTTAAAAGCTTAAGCTTTAAATTTTTAGGCATTTTTTAACAATTAAGTAGTGTTCGGCACAAATTCAAATAGTTTGATCAAATATGCGTCAAATGTTTGAAATGGCCAAATTCAAATCTTCCTATTTTGAATTTAGATCAAATTCAAATCTTTCCAAGATTTGATGTATATTTGAACGTTATTTAACTTATTTCATTTATTAATTTTATCTGAATCTATAAATTTTATTCATATTACAGCATTTGTTACTATTTCTCACACATTACAGCTTCTTTTATTCTTTTTAATCCAACTAAGACTTCAAGCACTGGCAAGCTTGAATGGTATCTGCAGAGAGAAGATTTCTTTTGTCAGTAATAAGATTTTTTCCTTATGAGAAGAGCCTTTCTGATGATACAGATGTAGCAGAAATGGCCAGGTAATCTCTGGCCATTCTGGATAGGTTTGGATATTTGTCAGATCGAGATTTCCACCAAAGTAATATGTTGCTATTATTGCCGCCATCTAGCTTACTTGTATCATTACAATAGTTTTCAAACTCATTACATGGGTTTGATGAAACACGCGATTTGAACGGGGTATATTTTGAAACGTTTTGAATGCTTGTAGCAGTTGTAATATTGCTTGGGGCATAATTGATTTGATATTCACAATTGACTGTGTCCATAATCTTTGTATACGACTCGCTGTTTGCGCCCTAATCATTTTTGTAATATTCAATACCAATTCTTGGGTCCAGGACAGTGCAGATAGTAAAGCAGTCACTAGTCAAATTATAATATCTTGAAATTTTTGCGAACGCTGCAACTGTAGAGCGGTGTAGACTATCTTCAGGGTTGGTTTTTGTGGTCATCCATTCAGTAATGTGATCCAAAAGAATATTGAAGAGAGGAACCACCAAAGACAATGTGGAATATGAATCACCACTAATGAGCTGGGTAAATTCCTGGAATGGTTCAAGATACAAAACAATTGTTTCAAACCTGTTCCAAACATCTGGTGAAATTGATAGACAACAGTCTGGATTGATTGCAGTTGAGTCAAAATCGCAAAAATACGCAATGAAACCAACTTTTAATTTCATTGCTCGTTTAAGCATATCAGCTGTTGAGTTCCATCTTGTAGGGACATCAAGTATTGGTTTTAAGGTGCAATTTGATTGCTAGAAAACTTTGAACCTAGAATATGATTGAGGACTGGATCGGATTTTTTTAATTCCTGTTCTAAGTTTTACAAGATCATCTTTCAAAACATCCAAACCTACTTGCGCGCCCAAATTCAGCACATGAGCAAAACACCGGATATGCTCAAAGGTGGTTTTAATTTCGTACTTGGAATTTAAAAAATCCATAAATGAATTATTATTGGAAGCATTATCTAAGGTAATGCCCATTCCTTTGCTTGTAAGACCGAATTCAATCAAAACTGACAAGAATGCATTAGATAAATTTGAACCTGAATGGGAATCAGGCAAGGATTTGAAATCAAGAGTTTTGGCATGTAGGTTCCAGTCTTTGTCAATGTAATGAGCCGTTATGCCCATAAAAGCAATGTTGTTGGGTGATGTCCAACAGTCAGTGGTGAATGAAACCTTTGAGTCAAGATTCAAAGAAAGGGTCTTAAGCAATTGTTTTTTGGTGTTGTAAGTGTCCATTATCTGGCGTTTTAATCGGCGCGCACTCATAATTGACAAATTTGGTTTCAGTAGAGTGAGTAGTTTACGAAAGTGGCTGGACTCTACCTCATTAAATGATTGATCATTCTTGACAATTCAGCTAACTAAGTATTCATTGAATTGATCTGGAGAATAAACGATTGGTGTCATTATCATGTCATCTAAACGTCGTTGCTTTGGTTCTCTGTCCCCAAGTAATTTGCTTTTGTGTTGAGAATTTAAATGGTTCATTAGATTTGTTGTCCCACCTTTATTGTAAGCATACTTGTTCTTGTGCTTTGGACAATGCTGGCATATGGCCTTGGTTTTGTCATGCTCATCAACTGTGAAATGATCCCATACAATTGATTGTGAACGTTTGGTGGTTTTTGTAACAGAAGAAGGTTTCTGGATTATCCGACATAATTAGGAATGTATATTTGATTTCTTTCAAAACAAAAGTTTGGTTAGGGGTACTAATTAATCATTCAATCAATCAATCAATATATATTTCTGAAATAGATACATTTCAAGGTTGTTTACAAATAGTAAATATACTAATATTAAGTAAACACCTAATGAAAATGATTAAAATAATAATGGTTTAAATAATAAAAATAATATTATTAATAATGATAACAATAATAATAATTATATATAAGTCACTTGTCTTTATAAATACAATAGCTACATAAACAAAGTTAGACAGTTACAAACAGTTACAACTGATAAAACGTAAAAGTAAACAATGACATTTAGCAACTATTATTATGAAAAACAAGGAAAAATAATTAATGAAAATAAGAATAACGAATATTAAAATAGAAATAATCATAATATAGTTTAAAAAAAAAAAAAAACATACATAAACAGATCAAATTTACAAAAACAGCTACAGTAACAGCAAACAATACAAACACAATAGCAACAACAACACAAGTTTTCACAAACATGCTACAAACAAAACGGCAAACTTAAACCGACAAAAAAAAGATTAACAAATAAATAAATTAGGAAATCTACCTGAAACCTGGAAATATAAAAATAAGTTATAGTAAAATTAAAAAAAAAATTCTTTGCTTTCAAGCAAGCCATTATTATACTTTTTTATTATTTTCTTTTTTCGAATGATTGTTTCTTTCTCTGAATGTTTTTCGATTCGTTATTGTTTTACTTTTTCCATTTTTAATGTGGTTAAATTGTATTCGCAATTTTTTCTTTTCATTTTTACATATATTTTTTTCTACGTTTTTTCTTTTAATCTTGTACTTTGTTTACATTTCTTTTCTTTTTTTCTTTCTCTATGCTCTTTACTTTCTCTTTAATATTAACAAACTTTAATTAAAAACTCTTTTTTTTTTTTTTTTTTTCCGTTATTGAAAGGCGACCGCCATTCCGGAAACCACTGCAAAGACCCCGGAATAAAGTGATACATATGTTTGCGGGCCTGTAAAATTTGGCGTTTTTTTTTCAAACGCAAAAATTGAGAACAAAGTGAATATTTCAAAATCAAATCCAAATCCTCCAGATATTTGTCAAATCAAATTCAAATCTTTCCCCTCAAAGAACAGTTCAAATTCAAATCTTTAAAGGTTTGACGTATATTTGATTTTGCCGAACACTACAATTAAGTATGATTTTTTTGTTTTTTTAATAGTTCAACAATGTGCACATTTAACAATAAATATTGAAAACATATTCTTTCTGAGTTTTTTTTGATAAAAAGTAACATCGAATTACTAATATTTAGCCAAGTTCAACATTTGCCGCGTTTATTCTAAAATTAAAAAAGTTTTTTAATATATCTGTAAAACGTCATCAATTAAAACATTTTATTGGTGTTTTTATTCTTCTTACATAACAAAATTATCTCTAATGTTTCAAAAGTTATAAAAGTTGTAGTAACACCCCTTACGTAAATATTCTCAAAAAATAACAAGAAGCCGTAAAGCTCGCTTGAAACAGCCGTGCTCTAGTTTTTTTGGCTAAGTATTCCATAACGTATGGCTCTGACTCTTAAGTTTTTTTTCTCCAGCTCCGGTTTTTTTAATTATATTTTAAAAGTTTAAACTAAATATTTGACGTATGAAAACGTTACAAATTGGTTGAAAATAAAATTGGTAAGACTATATTTGGTTGAAAATAATTCAGACCCTACTAGGACATCTAAAAATTTTGTAGAACGAATTAGTAG